CAATTCCTATTTTCTGTACTTTGATTTTTATAGTGGGAGTTTATTAAGCGCTCCTAGAAAACAGGATCCTGGAATTAATTGTTAAAACAAAATCCTCTTAGGCAGCACTAGGAGAGAAACGCTTTGCAGAAAGCTTTTATATGATTTATATGCTTTGAGTCTCAGTTCCTATGAAAAGAGTTAAATGAAAGTGTCCTAGAATAACCGCTGCTTTTACCGTCTTTTACAGACCGTGGGCTACTTTCTTGTGTCTCCAAAGAGTGTTTGCTACATGTTGATTTATATTCTGACGTTTGAAAGTATGTTTTCTACTTTAAGTGAAAATTTCTGTTTTGATCTAGCACCTTCCATTAATTCTTTCTTCATAATCTCTGGTTTCCAGAAGGGAAAATATAGTCAGTACAATATTACAGCAAATAGGAAAAGAAAAAATAAAGTTTTGCTCTCAAAATTTAAAATTATCTTATAAAGTGAAATATTTTTTTACAACATTTAAAGACATAAATGCAACGGCTAATGATTTTTGAAACATGGCTGTGTTTATTACCTTCTAGAAACAGGGCTGTTTCAGTGAGAAGCAAGAGTTGGGAAGAAGTTCTGTGCAGTCAAACTTATGTCCCTTCTCTCTCCTGGGCTGATTTTTACCATTGTGTTTGTTTGTTTGCTTTTGCTTACAGTATTCTTAAAAAAAAAAAAAAAGAAAGAAACAAACTATCATTCAAAAAATGGACAGGAGAACTAAATAGACACTTCTCCAAAGAAGACTTACAGTGAACAGACACATGAAAAAATGCTCATCATCACTTATCATCAGGGAAATGCAATTCAGGACCACAATGAGGTTGTGAGAAAGACATATCAAAAGGGTCTGGCCAGAGTGTGGTGAAAAAGAAACCTTCTTACAGTGCTGATGGGAATGTGGACAGGTCCAGCCTCTGTGAAAACAGTATGGAGGTTTCTCAAAATATTAAAATCAGATCTGCCATCTTAATTTTCACCATTTGAGACACATTACAACCAGTTTGGACACCTCTGACAATTTCCTCAAATCCCTTCCCAGTCATACAACTTCTTATTGGTCTCCTCGTTGGTTCTTTCCTCTACAGCCCACGTACTGCCTTTAGAACTCTTTACAAAGTACCATAATTATCCGATACCAAAATTTCAAGCTCTTTACACAGTGCCACATTTCCCTGCTTATTCATCTCTTTCCTCTTACTAAAAATTTAAGCTCCATGAAGTCCAAGAGCTGATCAGCTCTGCATAAGGTTAATACTGGAAGAAGACCTTGAAAGCTGCCTATAGATGTGAAGTGTGGGGGAGGGGTAAAAAAGGAGAGCACAGTGGACTGTGGTGGAGGACTTTGGGTGCTTTGGTGGTGACCACACCTGAGGGGAGAAATCCTATACTGTTGAAATATTAACAAGGATATAAAACAGCGGTACATTATTTAAAAAAAATATATATATATAGGCTGAATAACTGAATAACAATTGTATTTTCATGCTCTTTTTTGTGTGAATGACATGGAAAATTCTGTTTATTTGGAACTTCATTTTCCTCTGTAAAATCAGGATAATATTAACTTCCTAAGGTTCTTATAAGATGGTGTAGGCCAATGGTTTTCAACTAGGGTAAGGGCTGCCACTATCATATTTATGGCAGTATCTGGAGACATTTCTGAATGTTCGCAGCAAACTCACAACAAAATAACTATCCGCCCTTCCATGTCAACAGACCTAAAGTTGACAATTCCAAGAGTGAGAGAAAGTGCACAGAACTTGGCAGGTCTGCAGTGATTTTTCTCTTGCTCTACGCATTGGATATCACTAATAATAGCAATAACATGGAGAATAACAGATTATATTTATTATGTTCTTGCCATGTGTCAGGCATCATATAAGCTTTTCGCAAAAGTTAATCGATTTAATCCTCTCAACAGTGCTGAGTTGGGAACTAATATTATCCTCATTTTTCAGAGGAGAAGACTAACACTTAAATGGCTAAGTAATTTATTCAAGAACCTGCAGCTACTAAGTGTCAGAGATCAGGAAGATTCAAGCTCAGGGCCAAGCATTGGACCATTAAACTGTACAACTTTCTCTATAAATACAGTCTCCATCTTAAGATTTAAAAGGATTTCCATCCTCAGTGGTCAGTAGAAATTACAGCTGAAAATGGAAAGGAAATTTCAGTCTACTTACTTAAATTTATAAAGATCATTACTGTCTTGGCGTTTATAATTTTACCACTTGCACTAATTTGAGCAGATACAGTGTGTTGGCTGCTCTGGATCCCTGGATTAGAGCAAAGCTACTATGTGCTTCTCATTTGTGGGATTCCTAAGAAGTTCCAAAGAAACCTTGAGAGAGTTCATTTTTATTCAGAATTGAACCTTGTCCTGGCTGATCATCACCTCATGATCTAAATGGACCTTTTTTTTCCTAGTAAGGTGGTTTAATAGTGTTACCCCATGTAATCCTATTTGGGGTTTTCTTAGGGGGCTCATCCCCTTCTTTCATAATCATTAAAAAAATTAAATAAACAACTTCTAATTAAAGCGCACCTGTAAGAGAACACAGCCCAGGGTGAAGGGGTGACGGGTAGGGCTTTTCTCTCTTATAGAGAACACAGTTTAGGCACGTGGAAACTTTACAAATGGATGTATAACAATGAGTCTCTAGGTCCATCCCCTGTATTTTGTTAACTGCCAATGACTATTATCTTGAAGTTATTAGCCAATGAACTTTCTAAGTAGGTTCTATTATCTCAAGTATTGCTAGTTTTTCAGGTCCTAAAAACTTATAAACACAGTTAAGAAGCATCTGTTCCATAAGAGTTTTAGAGGCATCAGAGCAGCTGGTTTTCTCCCTTTGTGCCTAACTATTAATTTTACTCCTTGTGTGCTACTATTATACTTTGAAGATTCCTGTGACAAATTCAAAAATATATTTGATTTTAGTGTTTGAGCCCCACTTTTGTCACTTTTGAAGAGTCAATGCTAATAGCACCAAAAGTATGTAAATCATACTTTAGAAGAGTGGCTTCCTCTGCTTACAAGTAACTCTTTAAGCTCTTAGGACATTCGGGCAGGCATTTTGCAAGAATCCTTTGAGGCCAAGGACAAGTGGTGAATGTGTTACAGGGCAGAGAGAGGGGCACCCCAGACGCCACAAACCTGCCTGGGGGACCACCCTGTTACAAATGCGTTACTCCACCTCTAAGATTTCATTCATATAAAATGTGCGACTCTCCTGGGTACAAAGTGATTAGTATGCATTAGGCCTTTCCTCTCCTCAAAAAGAGTCATTTGACATGCTCCTGCATTTAGCATTTAATAAATCAAACATTTTGAATGATTGAAGAAGCTAAGACTGTATTTAGGGCAGCCCTTCTCAAATTGTAACATGCACACCTGAGTGCTCACTGACTCGCGGATTCTGTGTTTCTAACAACTTCCCAGGTCAGGCTGGGGGGCTAAACTGAGGCTCACACTTGAGTCGCAAGCTAGTAGGGAACATTGAGATAATTTGACAATTTGAAGCTTGAGATAAGGAAGGCATCGAAAATTCAGCTTTTCTATACCTTTAGTTGTATTATAAATTATACTTTAAGCATGAATGGAGATTTTTGTCAAAGGGAATGGTTTATGTACTGTGATCAAACCTATTATTTGTAAGTTTTCTTTAATATAAATAATGCTTGAATTTCAATGAAGATACATCCATCTGGTTTTGTTTTTGCCTGAAAAGAGACTCCCTTGTCCTTTCCTAAATGTTTCTAAATAATGGAACACAAATGTTGCCATTTCTGGTCATCAAAAGCATTTTTTAAAAGAAGATGTTTCACAATTTTTTAAATTGTAAAACGAATTCACAATATTCTTGACACTTATAGCACTTACAATGATTTTTCTTTCTTTTTTTTAATTTTGTTTCCAAAGATAACTAAAGGGACAATTTCCAATAATTCCTCCGTGATTTTTAGATATAAGATGTTTCACTCTCTGGTAGTGGTGAGAATTAAGAGACTCGTAGCCTGCCATGTCCTGTCATGTTAGCTTATTTTGTAGGGAAATCAAATCTGGCACCTTTCAATTTGCTTCTTTATGTCTCTAATCTAAAAACAGATGGAACACATTCTGGAACAAGAAGGCATGGTTACGATCTGGATTGCCCTTCCCTCCCAGACTGAGTTTTCTATCATTGCAAAGTTTGCTGAAAGTCCTTCGTTAAAAAGCAGGGAAAGACTCACATTTGGGAAGAAGCTGGTGGTGTTGAAAACCTAATTTATTCTCCATCATGAGCTTGGCAACCCTTCAAGGGAACACCACGGTGTACCTCATCTGTACCTGGAGGTCCCGAATAAGTGGAGATGTATCAAGGACTAGACTTTGTTAGTTCTTGCTAACTCGAGTGTGAGCTCTTTTTGGAGGAAGAAAAAGAGGTGGGGAGGCAAGAAGCGGAGAAGAAAAGCGTAATGTCTTACCTTCACACCTGCATTTGTTTATATTGCATTACATTTATATTGCTTCATTCGCAAGTTTCAGATCAAATGGAGGCATCTTTTAAAATGACTTAGCAGTCCCCAGTTTACATTTGTTCATTGATAATTCGCAAGAGTTTCACATTTTTCCTCTTAAATTGTATTAGCTGCTTAGCCACTAGTTTCATCTTGAAACAAATGGTGACCAGTGGGATTTGCAGGCGGCCATCCTGGGTTGATTCAGTGCATTCAGCAGTAGGGGGGTGGGGGGGGAGGGAGGTGTGTGCTTCTCTTTGGACGTGCAGAGATCTGTGTGAGAGGATGCAGATTCAGATGTAAACTGAATATGCCCTTCAATCGTGAGAGGTAACCACAGCCATTTCCATTATTATTACTTAAAATATCACACAACACCACTTAGTCCAAATCACCTAGTGCTTGAAAAGCCTACAGCCATATGGGCGTGTCTACTGCTTCCCCTAACTGACCCTTTTCTCTCTACTCTCCTACAACAGATTGTGGATTGAGCTTAACCAAGGAGTTCAGAGGCTGATCAACGCCAGTCTGACCTGCAGTGGAAGAAGGAGTTCCAGCTGCCCCTCTGGGCCCTTGTTGAGTGGGGATAACTTATCACTTGTTGCCTGCGTGGAAAATTCTCCCCATTGAATATTTTTTTTCCCCATGGAGGACAATAGAAAAAAAGGCCACACAGGCTAATAGGACCAGAGACTGCTGGAAGATTCTTTCATCAAGGTCTTTGGGGACTTTTCCCTGTAGTTGGTGTTCTGGACTTTGACAGAACCCCTATCTGGTCATTTATTATTATTATTTTTTTGCTTTTGCTTTTGCTTTTGCTTTCGCCCATCCCATTGTCTTTTATTTCTGTACTTCAGCAATGGGCCTACAGACCCCACGGTGGCCCAGCTATGGGGCTCTTTTCCTGAAATCCTGGCTTCTCATTTCCCTGGGGCTCTCCTCCCAAGTGTCAGAAACCCTGGCGTGCCCCAGCGTGTGCCGCTGCGACAGGAACTTTGTCTACTGTAATGAGCGAAGCTTGACCTCAGTGCCTCTTGGGATCCCGGAGGGCGTGACCGTACTCTACCTCCACAACAACCAAATTAATAATGCTGGATTTCCCGCCGAGCTGCACGACGTGCAGTCAGTGCACACCGTCTACCTTTATGGCAACCAACTGGACGAATTCCCCATGAACCTTCCCAAGAACGTCCGCGTCCTCCATTTGCAGGAAAACAACATTCAGACCATTTCCCGCGCGGCTCTGGCCCAGCTCTTGAAGCTCGAGGAGCTGCACCTGGACGACAACTCCATCTCCACAGTGGGGGTAGAAGACGGGGCCTTCCGCGAGGCGCTCAGCCTCAAGTTGCTGTTCCTGTCCAAGAACCACCTGAGCAGCGTGCCTGTCGGCCTCCCCGTGGACTTGCAAGAGCTGAGGGTGGATGAGAACCGCATCGCTGTCATCTCGGACATGGCTTTCCAGAACCTCACGAGCCTGGAGCGTCTGATCGTGGACGGGAATCTCCTGACCAACAAGGGCATCGCCGAGGGTACCTTCAGCCACCTCACCAAGCTCAAGGAATTTTCCATCGTGCGGAATTCGCTCTCCCACCCGCCCCCTGACCTCCCAGGGACGCATCTGATCAGGCTGTATCTGCAGGACAACCAAATCAACCACATCCCGCTGACGGCCTTCGCGAATCTCCGCAAGCTGGAGAGGCTGGATATCTCCAACAACCAGCTGCGCATGCTGACGCAGGGCGTCTTCGATAACCTCTCCAACCTGAAGCAGCTCACTGCGCGCAATAACCCTTGGTTTTGCGACTGCAGTATTAAGTGGGTCACGGAATGGCTCAAATACATCCCTTCCTCGCTCAACGTGCGGGGTTTCATGTGCCAAGGGCCCGAACAAGTGCGGGGCATGGCCGTCAGGGAGCTGAATATGAATCTTCTGTCATGCCCCACCACCACGCCGGGCCTGCCGCGCCTCACCCCCGCGCCCCCACTGCTTCCCCCACCGCCCCGGCACCCACACCTGCCGACCCCACCCCGGGCCGGAGCGCCACGCCTCCGAGCCCCACCACCGCCAAACCGCCCACCATCCCAGACTGGGACAGCAGAGCAAGAGCGACCCCACCCATCTCGGAAAGGGTCCAGCTCTCCATCCATTTTGTGAATGACACTTCCATTCAAGTGAGCTGGCTCTCGCTCTTTGCTGTCATGGCCTACAAACTCACCTGGGTGAAAATGGGCCACAGCTTAGTCGGGGGCATCGTGCAGGAGCGCATCGTCAGTGGCGAGAAGCAACACCTGAGCCTGGTGAATTTAGAGCCCAGGTCCACCTACCGGATTTGTTTAGTGCCGCTGGATGCTTTCAACTACCGCGCGGTGGAGGACACGGTCTGCTCGGAGGCCACCACCCACGACTCCTACTTCAACAACGGCAGCAACACCGCGTCCAGCCACGAGCAGACCACCTCGCACAGCCTCGGCTCCCCGTTTCTGCTGGCGGGCCTGATCGGGGGCGCGGTGATATTTGTGCTGGTGGTCCTGCTCAGCGTCTTTTGCTGGCATATGCACAAAAAGGGGCGCTACACTTCCCAGAAGTGGAAATACAACCGGGGCCGGCGGAAAGATGACTATTGCGAGGCAGGCACCAAGAAGGACAACTCCATCCTGGAGATGACAGAAACCAGTTTTCAGATCGTCTCCTTAAATAACGATCAGCTCCTTAAAGGAGATTTCAGACTGCAGCCCATATACACCCCAAATGGGGGCATTAATTACACAGACTGTCATATCCCCAATAACATGCGATACTGCAACAGCAGCGTGCCGGACCTGGAGCACTGCCACACGTGACGGCCAGACCCGGCGTCCCCACGGCGGACAGGCCACCTGAGAACACACACGTGTGTGCACATACAGACACGCGAATTACATTTGATAAATGTTACACAGATGCATTTGTGCATTTGAATACTCTGTAATTTATACGGTGTACTATATAATGGGATTTAAAAAAAAAGTGCTATCTTTTCTATTTCAAGTTAATTACAAACGGTTTTGTAACTCTTTGCTTTTTAAATCTTAAAAAAAAAAATAGTTGCTGAAGTACTGTACAGGGTTGTACAAGGAGAACCCAATGCCAAGCGCACGAACGAGTGATTTCTTCCTCATGATGCACATTAACCACTTTGCTGTTGAGGTTGTCAGAGTAAGTTCCATTCTTAGACTTGGTGGTCAGGTGAAAGGCCAGGCGAAAACGGGCTCATCAGGGCAGGCTACATCTTATGGGTGAGACAAGAAATGGCCCGCTGTTTTCATGCTATTTCTAGACTTCCTGTAAAAGTTAAAAATCCTGAACTAAAGAAAGGAGGTAGTTACCCTGATTTTGACCCAAAGCAGGAAATGCAGAAAGCGTCAGGAGGAAGTTGGTTCCTGTGAGATGAGTTAACCCAGCCAGACAGTGCAGAGAAAAGGGGATTTGAGGAGACCTTGGAACCCTAGGGTTGGCTTTCTGACTGGGGAATTGGAAATCACTCCTCATGCTTCCCTGGCCCTATATGATAACAGAGTTAGAGGCCCGGATCTGAGTTCTGTCATCTCCAGGGACGGGTCTGATGTCCCAGGAAGAAAACTCCCTTTAATAACATTATGCTTCAAATCCTACGTCAAGGTTGAATCATGTTCAACAGAAATATATTCTAGAATACTTTTTTAGAAGAGGCTAATAAAATAATGGGAAGAATTATATTGAATGGAATTATTTTTGATAATGAGAATGACTTATTTGGGTAGATTCTTTGCAGCTATGTCAACATGATACTTGATCCAATAAGGGATCGATGCCTGTACTATATTAAGACAGCTTGTTATTTGCTACCATTTAGACAAAGCAAGTCATCAGTGGTTCTGCTAACTCCTATCAACCGACTTTGTTAGTATCATGTTGACATAACTTGCATTAATATCTTTATCCCCTCACAAATTTTTGTCTTCCAATCACCTTACATATATTTTCGTAATTAGCTATTTATGCTACAATTGTTTTCTTTCCCCCTCTGCTCAAAATTTGAAAGAAAATTGTGGATGCCACTCTCGGTTACATAAACTATCCATATGAATACATACATTTAAAATGTAATGCTAATTTTCACTGCTAATAATTCTGTAAGGACACATCAAAGCTGTCTGAAATAATGCATTTTTTTTTCTTTAAAAGCAATACCGAATTTCCACCTTGGACTGACTTTGATCCCACTCCATTTTTGAAATTTCATTTATTCTTTTTCAATCTTGGATGGTCCTCTTCTTTGGGAATTGTAGAGGGATAATCAATCTTCTATTAACAGGCTAGCAGATGAAAAATGAACAAGTCTGAGAGAGAACACTTGTTCCCTTATCTGGGCAGAATGGGGCATAGAGCAGAGGGTATAGAGAAGAGAGGAATGTTCATGTTTAACTCTAGATATTTTTGAAGCAATGTCCATCTTCAGAAAGCATATGTAATTTACTCCTGTCCACCCCTTAGATGTAGAAGGGCTATAGATCACATGCATTATATAAAATGTACACCCTTGGTAAATTCTTCTTAAAATCAACTTTAGGCATTTCATGTTCTGTTGCATATTTCCTGTACCATTGGTCATTTTTTTTTAGGGACCCATGAAGTCAATGACACAATAATTTTCTTTCCCTCTCTCTCCCTTTCACAAGACAGAACTGTGATGTGTCTTCTTTGTAAAAGTTTAGGTATAAAATTCTATGCAAGTTTTTCTTTATAGTAAGAGCTTTATTTTCTTTAAAAATATACCCCAACTTATATGTTGTAATAGCTCTTGTTCTTCAGACTAAGCAGAACCTATAAAGTTATATTATAGACACAAGAATCAAAACTCTGCAGTCAGTTGAGCTGAAATTAGCAGCAAATTAATTTGAATTCATTCTAAAGTGAATTTGGTTTCCATTTTAGTCTATTAGCTGGCAAGTTTCAGCTGCTTCTTTTTTAAAATTAGGTCCACACAGTGAAGGGATGAGATATTCTGTGAATGAGAAGAGAAGCAGTAAAGCCATCCCAAATCAGAACAATGGTGTGGGATTTTGTGTATTTCACGGAACGCTTCACTTTCACTGTCCTCTTTCTCTTGGCTGTGTAGATAAAACTCTGTGTCCAAACGATGGTACTTTGACTTTTGAGGTTTTTTTTTTTTTAATCCACAAAATAATTATTATCATTTATTTGTTTTTAACCCCCAGTGGGTAATTGGCTGCTGAAACGAATCTGGCCCAAGAAAACCAAGATTGGAGAGGTTCTCTGCTGTTTAGGAGATTAACCACAAGATTTAGGGCATAAGTGATACTGCAGAGACCCAGTTAGGTGAGAGGATTAGGCTGATCTGAAAAGGTGCCTTTGCTAGAAGGTGTTCCTGAAGAGATAGAATGTAGACAGGTTGTCTGATGATGATGTGCACAGCATGACAAAGACTGGTTGTGAACGTCCTATTTGTAATAGCATACCCGGGACTCACCTACACCAGCATAGTGAGCACATCATGGCATTTGGATTGTCTTAATTGTATTAGGGAAACTGATGACAACCATAAGTGCCGAATTGTGCATTTATTGACATTTATAGTCACAGGAATGTGTTTTGCCGATACTTGCTGTCATTGTCATTATTATGTATGTTGAGATCAGTCAAGAGTCAAAGTCAAATGTGTAGGTCAAGATCATAAGCAAAGTCCTACTTACTGGCTTATAAAGGGTTTGATGCTGTCTGACCCCAATGAGTTGGTTTCAGAGATGGGTCCACTCTTAGAATAAGGTAGCTGTCCCTGTGCAGAGGCAATTCTAAAAGGAAAAGCCATGATCACACCAGTATTATTGACCATTATTCCTACCAGGGTTGTCATAAATCTACTTATTTGGAGAGCAGTGTTTGATCATGGAGAGACCTGGGCTTCCCTCAAAACTGTCAAATGCATCAGCAATTATCTATGGGACAATCACAGAGACAAGGAGTGTTGCTCTGCCTATTTTCTGATGTATCAAGTGAAAAACATTCTACGCTGTGAAAAATAACACGATATCTAATTATCTGGATGTTTGTTGAAAATGTTAGACAGTGTCCTGGAGATTAAAAAAGAGTGCAATGTGACCAGTCTGGTAATAACTATTAATGAAGTAGCAAATGCTGCAGCTCCCTATCCTACTAGAGCAGATCTTAACTGTCATAGTGATTTCACAAGAATGAGATCTTCCTTCCCAACTGAAAACGACAAGCCCTTAATGTTGTGAGCAGAACAACCAATCCAAACACAAGGCAACATTGCAATTCACAGGGGTCCCTGCTGGCTTTGATCAGAGAACTCAGCAGAAGAGCCCATTGCAACTTTGACAGTGAAGTGGTTAATACCCATTGACTTTTTTTTTTTTTCTCTAACCTATAACAAGTAGACATCAAGTTTTACTTTAGAACATGAGAACATCTGTTTAGCTCATGACTTAACTTTCAAAGATATGTGGGAAAGCAGAGCAGAAAAATATGAAGATAGACGCACAAAATGAAACAGAAAACCTCCCAGGTCTTCTTGTCAAACCTTGCCTGATGCTGTATTTTATAGTCAAAATATTAATGTAGGAAGCTAGTGCTTATCAGCTTCTCTAATTTCTGCAGCATGGTGGGAAGAAGATTGCAGGCACTACAAGATACCTGCCACTGATTGCTGGGACTAAGTTGCATCCAATACTGTTTCTGTAATAATACAGATTCCTTTCCTTTGGTTTCTGGGTTTTGTTTTGTTTTGTTTTGTTTTTCTTTTCTAGTATCACTCCCACCAGAAGAGCACAAACCATTGCAGCAAACCTTTTAAAACTAGTATAAAACACATACATATTCACACACACACACACGCACACACACACACACACATACACACCCCACTGGGGCATTTGTAAACTATCCATGGAATGTTAGATTGATAATCATTTTGAGATAAGGTGAAGGCGTCCCCACTGTGTGTCCCTCTTAGGACCAGTATATGTTCACTGCAAGTTAATCCTGATGATTTGTTATTGTTTGGACGACGGTGTTGATTTGCTTCTGGTTTATGTTTAGTCTGTTCTTGCTGACAAGGGACTGCAAGGGACTGGAAGATTCTGCATCACATCCTCTGAGACCTATCATGCGGCACACTTTAACTGCAAATTTGACTCTGCACTCTACAGTACCTTGTTGATATACTCAGTAAAGGCTTATTTTAAAAGAAAACCACTTTGTGTTTATCTAAGTTCATCGGGATGCAGCCATTACTGTGTCAAAGTGAAATGAGGGATACCTCTTGATCATGGAGGAGAATGGCAGGAATGAAAGAGGTAATAATAGGGTTTTTTCATTTTCTCTATCATGAGGGCAAATTCTGTTTTTTTAAGGCCATTTTATCCTTTCAGTGTGAGGGGTTCATATGCACATATCATCATGTCCTTTATTACTCCCTAAGTGGTGTTCCTATATTCTTGAAATATGCACACATACATTGAACATATTTCATATTTGTGAATTCTATGATGTTTAGCATATAGATTAAATATCAATGTAGTTATCCAATCAGAAGAGTCTTCCCTATTTCATAATATGTACTATTGCTTTTAATTGTCAGTTTTCATTAAGGTTTCCCATGGTGCTTTTCTACTTCCGAATCACAGCTTTTCTACCCATATTTTCAGTGGCACTCAAAAAATTGTATCTATTCATATACTCAAGTTCAGCTCCAGATTCATCTCATGATTTTCCAGAATCTCTTTCTCTCACCTGTCTTGGCCATGTCTCTAATAATGTATTTGACAGAGATTGAATCAGGGAATAAAATGACACTTCAGTTAACTAGTATTAATTACTTATAGAATCTGTTGGAAAATTAACTATGAAAGATAGTAATAAGGATTTGATTGATCTTACATTTGGGAGATTTTATGTAAAATGATGTCCATGCTACTCTTGGTTACTTTAGCCAAGAGTTACACTCTGTAATCTACAAAACCAGACCTGTGGGCAGAGAATAGCATCCATTCAAAAAAGTTTATTCTTTCTACTGTGTTGAAGGCACTGAGGTCTCACAGAGGAGGCTTCAGAGAGCTCAGACAAAAGTAGTGCCAATGAACCTAAGTCTATCCAATACTCTTACCAGATTTCCTAAAGAAATCTGGGTTCATCTGACGTATTTATTCTTCATCTACTTCCACAGAGTATTTGCTGTGTCAGGTTCTACTGAGTATTCACACAAAAATATGAGTCCACTGCAAAGGGGCTTACAGATCATGGGATAAACGTTTTCTAATAGTCCTAGATCCCTAATAATGATTTTGCATTCTCTCATGAAACTCAACAATGTCTAAAGTAACTAGAAGACATACACCTGATAGAATGTTGCATCTGTTGTATATTTTAGATCTTGGTGTTTAGCAGACAAAACAAAATGATACTGCACTGATAAAATTCTAACTCATTTTCACTTAAGATTTCAGATGTATATCAAGTAATCAGAAATTTCAGCCTCTTAAATTGCCACTGGGCATCAGAATGGAAATCAATTTAAAGAAATATTGAGACCTGACCATTATTGAGCACCTATATATACACATATGACCATGTTCAAAAAGCTTTGTTACATGTGATTACACTTTATCTCTAACCCTGTAAGTTGTATTCTCTATTGCTCACATCTTGTATATTAAATTTTATTTATTTTTTTCATACAAGAACTGGGGCACAGGCCAGACAGAGGTGCAGCGGGTGAGAGGATTCACCAGAGACAGAGCAGGGAACAGAACAGGCAGGCAGATGGAAAACACTGCTGAGGGGAGCAGTGGGCGAGACAGCACAGGGGGCTGCCATATGGGCTCGCTTCGAACTTGCTGCAAATAGCTTCACAGTGCTTTGCTCAACCTCTTGCGCCGCCAAGGAGGCCCTATTCACATTTTAAAACACAGATTCTTAAGGGGGAAATGTGGTTGTTTCACAATCCCAAAATCTGTCAGCGGCAGAATTGGGAATTAACATGATTCTGTCCAGTCTTAACTGTCTTCTTGCCTTTTGGTACATTGACTAGCCTTAGGACTGAAAAATCTTCAGAACAAATTCTTGGTCAAGATTGAAGATTTTTGATGATGGGGTCTCCCCTGGTGGCGCAGGCTATTGAGCGCAGTGCAGTGAAGCTGTCTGCAGCCTCTGTAGCGCGGGTTCGATCCCAGCCGGCCGGCGAGGGTCCCAAATGGTGCCACAGAACTCTGCTGTCTCGCCCGCTACTCCCCTCAGCAGTGTATTTCAGTCTGCTTGTTCTGTTCCCTGCTCTGTCTCTGGTGAATCCTCTCACCCTCTCACCACACATCTGGCCTGTAGCCCGGTTATTGTATAAAATAAATAAATAAATCTTAAAAAAAATTAAAAAAAAAGATTTTTGGTGATGAAGTTATCACAACTTCACTCAGTAGGTGCATATACTATAGTTCATGACAAAATCAAGAGAACATTTCTTAAAAAACTTCAAAATATTTAGTAAGTCCCTTATTTTTGGTCAGGTATTCCTGCTTTTTATGAAAGATTTTTTTGTTTGTTTGCTTATACGATGGCTATGCATCTTACATGATTTGAAATCTTCAGATGTGATGAAGCTAGATCTACACCCACAGAGTGAGCTTGAAGAACTTTTTTAAGGACCTGAGCAGGTTATTTTTAGTAATCAATTTGCTACATGCTTGAGAGTTGCTCTCAGTATTTTGTAGGTCCTGCTGAGGATGCTCATCTGTCAGAATCTATTAGGCCATTAGCAAACTGGCTTATGAATTTGTACTTTTTTTTTTTCATAGCACAGAATTTGTGCTTTAGAGGATGTCATACAAGCTTGGCTTTCATTCATTAAACTGAAAGTTAAGAAAATATGACCAAAATATCCCAAGCCAGATGTCATAATATATCCCAAGCCAGATGTCATTTTAGCACATATACAGATGATTCTACTTGCCTGCTTTCCAGTGTGAATGAAGTCTGAGCTAGGTGAACTTTTCAATATATCCTCTGGCGAGGGAGTTGGGGCGTGCTTATCCTATCAATGATATGCTAAACCTCCATTTGGGTGAATTTTTCCCTCATCAAATGCTAAACTCCCTCCTTTGGGCCTTTATTGGTTAGTTTTGTTTTCGTTCAGTAAATATTTGCTGAGTTTTGATGCCAAATAAGATTGTTTTCCAAGAGAGTTAACTGCATCATCAAAAGTCTTTCCTGAAAACTGCATTTTCCTCCTTTGAGCTCTCACATGCCTACATTTAAATAATCAGCCATCCTTGTCCCTATATCTGACACTCAAATGTGTTTTCTTCTCACAATTTCCTATCTATGATGTGGTTAAGAAGGCCTTTCCTCTAGGTCAACCTTACCTACACTCTATGGGACAAAGGATAATCTCTAAGGAATGCTAGATTGACATTGCCTTGCCTTCAAAATATGCCATTACCATTATTTTTTTTTTAATTGAAGCAACATTATATAAGTTTCACATGTTCATCCCTGAGAAACGATATGTGCAAAGTTCATTAAGTTCAATGCTAAAAGTTCAAACATATCCTGCACTAATCCACGGTCTGCTCCCAGGGATCATGCCATCTATTCTGCTACCAATGCTTTGAAGAATTCAAACTCTCTGTGTGCTATGTATGTCCTCTCACAAGTTGCTCCTTAATCATATCCTCATCCATTTTGCCTTCTAGATGAAATCAAAATTTAAAATGAACAAAAATGTCTTCTGACCATCTCTGAATGATCTCCTATGTATATGCTTTCTCCTTTGCCTAGTGACCTGTTCCTCTTTTCAAAATACATTCAAATGCTCTTCCTCTTCCCCTGGAAAACTTTTCTGAATTCCACCTATCAATGATCTGAGCCCTTGGTGCAAAAAATATAACTTTAGAATTTTTTTTTTATTTATAGCAGTTATATATTGCAATTTTTTCATGGTTCTATCTCATATCTATACTCTGGATCCCCTGGGGGCAGAACACATTCTGTTCCTTGTATCTCATCCAGGGCTGCCTGTGGTGTCCGGCTCCTGTTAGCACCCAGCAGATGCTTTGGCAAAAGCGTGAATAGAACACACTGGCCCCTGCAGTGACACTGGGATCCCCTTGGGACCAGATCTCCATGGACAGCAACCATGAGGATAACAGGCACCCTACCCTGTCTGTTTCCTATGGCTGAATGACTTTATTTTCTTTAATTTTAAAATGCATTTGTTATGAAAGTAACATTGAGCTCTATAGATTTCAGGTGTGCATATTAAATCAACCTCTGCATCTAAAACATTATGTTCACCATTAAAAGTTCAATTCTCTCCACCGTTTATTTACTCCCCCCTCCTTTCTCCCTTACCTTGAATGGTTTTTAAAGAAGTCAAGAAAAGCAATGGAATTATGAATTTTGCAGAATAAGCCTCACTCAAATGCCACAATAGGTATTTTATAAGAACAATATATTTTTTTCTAAAAAATCTCTTGCTTATCATTTTTTACGGAAATTTTGTTTTTGTGATTATTTAATGGGCACACACTTACCTGATTTTCAAGCTTCCCCACAGGAATGCTGAGAACTATTAAAATGACTTGAAAACATTTCTTTTATACTTTACAGACAAAGTTCTGAGGCAGCTTGAAGAAAGACACATAAAGAGCTCTCTTAAAGAATTGTCTTGCAACAAATTGTGACCATCCTGAAAAAGAAACCACAAAGTATGTGTAGACAGAATCAAGTCAAACATTTTGACAGTTTGCTAGTCAAGATGAATTCTTTGCATGCAAAAAGCAAAGGTAGTTTATTAACTTTTGTTTTCATCAACAATATCAAAAGGGAAAAGTCATTATTCACTGTGACACATCCTGTATCTAAAATATGGCATATCTGATGTCATATTATCTTAACTGTCACCATGAGAACAAGTAGTCGTTTCTAGAAATGACATTATTGTAAAGACAGAGAATTGATTGTTAAGAACTAAGACTTGAGTCAGACTGACTTATTTTCGAAACCTGCCTCTGTTATTGACCAGTCTGTTGGCCTTGTTAGTAGCTTATACTGTATAGTCATTCATTTCTTTTGCACTAAATGAAGATGGTAAAGTCTAACACATACTGTGATTGTCAGAATTGCAGGCATGTAGAGCAATTATCTGGGAATTAAGCAAGCTTGAATACATGACATCAAACACAATATAATCTGCAGACAAACCTAATTCACAATCACAGGGTGACATGTTGCCAACTTTACATTATGAAAACTGTATTTCTTGAGTATTAAGATTTCAAGTATATGTGGAGATCATATCTATGGAAAAGCAGTTAGCTTCCTAAGTTCCTCATAAATATGTGCCACCATTTATCAATGCAAGACTGACAGGAGGTTTTACATTTTCCTTATTTTCTGGTTGGAAAAGTGTAACATAGTGTAACATAGAACAACACTAGGTTCTCTGTCTTGTGGTGTAAGGGACTACTCAATAGAATGGTTGAAGAGAAAGGGAATAGACAGACTTTCTTATAAAACATTGTATTTCTTTTCTGATCTGTAGAGCACATATAGATGTGCTTACTGCTGAAATTTAATTCAGGAAATGTACCAAATGAATACCAAGAAAAAGTATTCAGAAGACATTGGGAAACTGAAACCTTTTTTTTATTTTTTTAATTTTTTTAAGGAAGCAAACTTTTTTAAAACCAAGATGATAACGTCCTGTTTGAAAAATCTAATATATTAAATGACATATAGTTGAGTTCCTCCTGCTATACCATGACCTCTTTCAACACTTCAACACTTCGTTGGAAGATAGTGGGAATGGTAGAAACACATGGATGGATGTTTTAATGACTCTGTTTGCAAAGGTGATAGTCAATTAGTTCCCACATGGCTGCTTTTTGTAATCAATGTCATTCTTAATTTCAAAATCTATTTGTAATTAAGAGGCATGCCCCCTCTTTGGTTGGGTTGTATTTCTTCATTCTGTACAGGTTCTGTTGATGGCAGTTTAAATCGTCTCAAAACAGCTCTATCACTAGGCTCTATACCAGTATAATTTTCCTTTTTATTCTATTCTTTCTTGTTCAATACATATAAAAGTTGAGATATTTGGATGCTAAGGGAAAAATACCTCCCTTTCTAGTTTAATTGGTTTCAGGGCAATTATTTCAAAGGTATAAATCAATACTGACATTCCCAGCATCAATAGCCAATTTCTATTATCCTGGGGAAAATGTCTTTTTTGATACATGGACCCTAAGTTCTTTCTATTGTAAAATATTGTCTTTCTTTCATTAAAATATAGTATGGTCCACTAGTGTATCTGAAGCAAGGGGAAGCAGTTGCTTTGTAGGAATGCCAATCATACCCGATAGAGAACAGTGGTGTCTACACCCCACTGGATGGAAAAATAAATTATTGAAACATGATGAATCCCTTCAATTGAATTCAAAGCTGTCTAGAGCTAGATTTAATTTGATTCCAACCTGTGCTAACCTTGGACTTGTGCACACTTAAGCTTCTGTTTTCTCATCTGTGCAAGGTGTAAGTAGTTATAGTACTTACCTCAGCAACAACAATACCACACAGTGTGTGACATATATGAAGTACTCAGAGTCAGCTATTTCCAGAAATTTATGGAATTTATGTCCCAAAAATTGGGTTACATAACTCAGGTTTTTCTTGGATCTTGAGTAAGACCATTCATCTTTTTGGCTTGTTTCTTCTAGTTGATAGCAAAGGAATTTTGTTGATTCCTTAATTTCTTTTGGACCTCAAATTCTATTCCATCCTGGCTAATGATCCTTAAAATTTAGAGTGAATTAATTGGGTTGCTTATGTCTTATGTTCTTGTAAATCTTAGGAAGCTCTATATGGGATATAAGACAAGAAAAATACAAAGACTCAGTTTCATGAATTTTTGTAAAAACTGAATGCTGCCCCTCCCACCCCTTTCTGCCATTAGTTACAATAGTAAACCCCTGTGTTTGGGAAGCTACATGCACATTCATTCAAAGCAAGAGTTGTAACATCACAAGGAACTCCCACTTTTGTATTTGTACGAGATTACTTAATGTTCCTAGGCCTCAATTTCCTCAAAGATGAAATGGAGTAATAATGCTTGTGAGCATTCAATGAGATAAGTTCTGTCAAATGTTCAGTGTGTGAGAGCAATTCATTCAAAGCCATTATGACTGAAAAATTACAAATGACTAGAAAAGAAGCAAGTGGAAAAAAAACCTCATTTGTTTCAACTTAATTACCTTTATTCAAAACAGAGAAATTCAAACTATAATGTTAAGTAGACATCTTTATAAATACTTTATTTTAGTAAAAAGTATCAAAGATAAATTTCCCTACAATAAAAATTGTACAAAACAAAACTGTTTCTTCAAATGTTGAATGCATTTTCTATTTTATCAGGCCTTTTATGTAGAGTTTTAGCTACTACACTTTAAATATTCAACAGAAAAGAGATTGTGAGTAGAAAATCTGGGGAATTTTTAAGTAATAGTTATGGTTTATTTTTGATGAACTAGGATAGATTTTAATACTGACTGTCACTTCTTATCTTTGAAACTTGAAAAAAGTATACTATTATGGTTTAAAATAATTAAAAAATGAGTTTTTAAGAATAAGTAGTAAATACTTCTTTCCATGATTTTCAACACATTTATGATATCACTGCTTAATTATTAACAATAAGAAGTTAATTTTAAAATATTCAGCCTCAAACTGATTATCTAAGAATCCCTGCCAATTTCATTTGACTATGTCACACAACTGAATTTAATAATGAGAATTGTATTATTAGAGATATTTATATAAAGTAGGCTTTCCAGTAATTTATATCAGCCTAATGATTAATATTTTAAATGAATGGCTTTTAATTGTAGTTGGAAATGATCTTTGAGATTCAGATTGAGGTATCATTATCTGTACACCTCTTTTACAAAATGTTACTTAAAGTTCTAATTCATTTGCTCTTTGTTATGAATTTTTTTTACAGTTCATTACATTTTATAGAGAGACTTTATTTTAAAAAAACATTAGTAAAACTAGCATTTTGGAAAATTAGTGGAATACCATGCCACCACAATAAAAGAGCAAAATAGCATTTTAAAGGAATTTATCAAAGTAAATATTATCAAATCATTTTATTTATCTTTTCAAATATTAATATTCTACCTGGCATTTCAGGAACTTCCTGCTACTGGCAAAAGACAAGTAAATCACAGATGAAGTCACCTACAGAAAAACATTCTTACGAATTTTAACTAATTTCTCATAGTGAAGAAAATTCAAAACTTCAGAGACTTTCTTTTGAAGTCACTTATTTTATGAAAGATAGCTTTCATTATGAAAGGATTACTATTTACTGATTGTCTTAAAAAGCCAATATAACCTGAAAAGAAACACAAAATAAACCAGCATATGGAAGAGAAAGACCTAAGTTAAACTTTGTTTCCCAAAGTCACCAACAGTTTAAAGACTAAAACCCAACAAGACATACATACATATAAATTATATGTTTTTCAAAGCAATTATCAACATGAGCAGCTAAGGAAGGAAATTGTGGTGTGACAAAATTTTAGGGAAAATAAACATATATTGTAGACACAGGGAGGAACACACTGAAGTTATAGTTCACTTATGACAAGTTAAAATAATCAGGCTTCATTTAGAGGATGTGAAAACAAAGTGCCAGGAAGTTATCAAAAACATTAACCAGTAGTTTGAAATATTAACCCTTCAAGTGCTAGGGTGTTGAACTGCACTTGTTAAAACTTATTCAAGAATCCCCATGGCACATGAGATGATGAAAATAACATTAAATTTGAAGTTTAAATATTAGCTCATGCACTTACCAGCTGTGTCCACTGGTCAAATAGTGAATCTCTTCAATATTTGGTTTCTTATCTTTAAAATGGTGTAATAAAAACTCCTCCCATAGTATTGATGTGAGAATTCATTTAAAATCAACAGCTTGTGCTCAGCAGTCATTTGGCTATTGTAACTCCATCCAGCTTCTTCCTGTCATGTCCCATCTCTTTACTTTTCTATCACTTCTGGTAGAAGGAGGTGCTTTCTGTAGTTCTGAAACAAACAGAAACATTTCATAGTTCATTGTTTTATGAGATCCTCAAATAGAGGATGGCATCTTCTGTGACCAGAAGTTGCATAGCTTGGAGTATGGATCTACCAATCTCAACATCCTTTAGATATGTTCATCTATTGCTTGACTTAAATTAAGAATTAAGATGTAGTAGCTTCCTTTTGAGCATCTGTGGATGTTTCTCGGAGAGGTGGTACAGCACATACTTTACATTTTTTTTTCATGATTAATCATTCCATAGTTATAACAGGGTTAAATATGTATATTCATATAATGCTGTCATTTAATGGGAGTTTCAATTCTCTGTTGTCCTTGCTTTTTGCTGTCATCCTCTTCCATGCTTGGAATTCCCACCAATATCTTCATTCCTTTGATTTTAGGTAATATTACCTAGATTATGTTACCCAGGTGATGTTATCCAGATTTGCAAGAAATGAAGTGTTTAGCAGTCATTATAATGGGAGCTTGAAATGTGAATATTATCCAAATATGATAATTACCAGCAGAGGATGGGAAAAAGGACAACTGGGCATGGATGGACAAAGGATGAATGAAAGAATTTGGTGCAGAGGCAACTAGGATGGACAGTCACTAGGAGGGATCCCAAATTGTGGGCAGCATTAGGGAGAGCAAGCTTTGCCAGTGTGGTTGGCATTCCAGGGAGTGCTCTTGTGCTATTGGTAGAAAATTTAACACTGAAGAGAGAACACTTGTCAAAATTCTGTCCTTGTCCCCAGGCCATCCTTTCCTTAGGACCACAATATTAGGATCTAAACATTTTACCCCAACACCAATCAGTGCTAAGGACCATCTATTGAACCAACTGCAGGCTCAATTTAGGCTTCCCTGAGTTAATTGGGGTTTCCCTTCCCCTGTGACCCCATTTTTTCTCTTTTCCCTTTCACATGTGTCTCTTGCAAGAGCCCTCACGAATAAGCCTCTTGCATGCTAATCTCGATCTCAGAGTTTGCTTCCCTGGAAACCCAACCTGCCCTAGTCTACTTCCTGCTTCTGCTCGAAGGTCTCTTAAATATCACCAGAGATTGGCTTATAATGAGATAAAGGTGCAAGATTGAGCCCAAAGCCTTTTCTCTCTATTGAGCAAAGTGAAGTAAAATTGACTTCTTGTTATAATTTCTGTTTAGTTCTGTGAATTTGAATGATGGCCGTGAGCATAGATGAAGCCCAAATTTTGCTGCATGTTTAAGGTAAACTTAATTTGGCTAATTAATATTTCAACCATTCTCCTTCTCTGATGATTGTCAAATTGTGAAGGAAATAGCCTTACTATACCCTAAAAATAAAAATTAAAAAAGTTTTGAAGTGAAAAAAGCTAATTCTCAATACTTTGATGAGAAGTGAAATCAAATTTATCAACTCTATGTGAAAATAACAGTGTCTAAGACAAAGGCAGCCAGAATGATGGTGTGTTAGAACAAGTGTCTCTTGTGGATATATAAAAAAATAAAACGGAAAGAATTTCCAGAACAGCAGTCTCTACTCTGTAACAATTTTCTCTCATGGTCCAATCATTTTAAATATACCTGCAGGATCCAGAGCTTTTCTCAATAATTGCCTGGAAGCTGGGAAGGTGGCGACTCTCATTCACCATTCCCTATTTCTTTCCTCCAGCTCTGCTACTCCTTGACAAATTCAGTTAACCAGATGGCAAGTTATTCATGAGCGTGCCTCCTCATTAAGTCGATAAAATCTTGACAGGAGGAAGGAGAACTGAATTCCCTTTCTGAAGTGGTTTATGATTTTAAAATAAGCATCTTTTCTTGAAAGCAGTTTACCCACATAGACAAAAAGAGGGTGAGTATTAAAAGCCATGAGATATCCAAGGCAGCAAATTTACTTTTTATAATAAAAGTAGGAGGGGCTCTTTCAGTGCTTCTGTGTCCAAAGAATGGTAACAATAAATGATTTTTCTCAACCCCATTAGAGAGCTGCTGAAGCTTCTCTTGTGATTTTGATTAGGATTAGATGTGGGTAAATGGAAATTTTATTTATCACCTCTTGCTATCATCAAGTACATCACCTGTTTTCAAGATGAAAAACTGAACCCCAGGAAAGGAGTGGAGAAGCTCCAATACTGAGTGATGGTATAAGCATTGTAACACAGGACTAAGTGTTTCAGAGCACTACAATATACATTTTTCATTGGTAGATATCCTTGTTATTTTAATGTATCTTTTATTTTTTATTGAGGTAGCATTGGTTTAATACACTGCTAAATTTTTTATTGAGGTAGTATTGGTATATGATTCAGAGGTGTAGGTTGACACCCCTTCAGATGTATTTTAGCACACCCTGAACACCACCAAGACACCAATAACTCCCCCCCTCAGCCCACTGGTTCCCCTCTACCAGTAGATATTCTTGCAGTTGTTTTTTTATGTAACTTCCCAGCTAGCATTCACTCCGGCATGAGTTTGTAGTGGACTATGCCATAGACAAAGCCAAGAAAATCTGAAAATGACTGATCCAAACACTTTATTCCCCAAAGTGGGGAGGTTAGTGTATTCATGACACTTCCAATTTGCTGCCTGAACTTGGAAATGTACATTACTAGTTTAGATCAAAGAGCACGACCCCGCCTCCCATGGGTAGCAAAATGGAGTCACTAAAGTATGTATAGCTAGCCAGTGTTAGATATCTTCACAGATTTTTCATTTGTTTGTATTTTAATCCTTGAAGAAGACACAGTGAGTCTTCTCTACAGAAACAAATTAGAAGAGGTAGAATTTAATAATAATAAGTTCCTTCACTAAGGTCTTTGCTATTACAAACCTTTTGCTCTCATACATTTCCTACATTTTAATAAATGTGCCTTGTGAATATCATTGTGTCCATATACATGCGCTAGATACTCACTGGTCAGGATTGGGCTTTTTTATTGGAGCCCATCATCTCTGCTAAGATATTTAAGGCCCCTGATTAGAACATAGACAACTACTCAAACCACATGCTAAATCCATCACTAGAAGCTGCCTCCTATTCCTTCTCATGATTAGCTTGAGAGAATTGGCAGGAACAAATTTTTCTAAAGAGCCGAGCCTAACTCCCTGCAGCACAGCTAAGGTACCTGCATGGAAAGCTTGACTTCCTTTTGTAGTAGATGGTCTTAGATCTTGGGCAAGTTGCTTAAACTGCAGCCATAATTTCCTGGTGATGTGGTATAATTACTGGATGAATTTAAATATTTTTTAATATTTATTTATTTATGCATACAAGAACTGGGGTAGAGGCTAGAGGTGTCGGGGTGAGAGGATTCACCAGAGACAGAGTGGGGAGCAGAACAGGTGGATCAACTGAAATACACTGGTGAGGGGAGCAGCGGGCGAGACACGGGAGGTCTGCTGTGCCATGTGTGTCACCTCCCTGGCTGAGGATCAAACTTGTGCTGCAGTAGCTGCCAATTGCATCATAGTGCTGAAGCTTAACCCCTTGAGCCACCAGGGAGGCCCAG